AATTGATACGCCATTCAGTTGAGGATGTGAACATCTGATTTAGTCAAAGAAAAGGTACCCTGCGATTTTGGTGACTCATAATTTACATATAGCGGTTATCTGTTTGTGTTATGAATGGTGGTCTGTTCTCTCCAAGTTTTATGCAACTGTACCATTGGTTTGGAAGTGGTTCCACATGTTGTTAACTACACTAAACGAGACATTTGCAGCCAATTCGCAACGGCCAGTTATGATTGGGTGGCTCTATTCATCCAATTGCTTTTCACACGACTGAAAAATCTAAGTATCTTCTTCAAGGTTTATCCATGTTTCAGGATCAGTTCTCAAATTAACAAATGAAACAATACTTTGTGAGATTGCTATACATAGAAAAGGCTTAATGACCAATAATATGCATTTTAGATCATGTAACTGATCACCAGATAAATGATTTACATAACAATAAACTGAATAAGGTGATCGGAATTATTTTATAATAGTGGTTTTTGCCTTCTCACAGTAGTAATATTACATGTCTCACAGTAGTAATATTACATGTTCCGATTCCCCTTTACATCATTTGTGTAATGTATTTTTGATTGTTCTGGTGAGTTTCCGTAAAATAGAAGATAACAATAGATACACATGCTCAATAACAGCTCGGCTACGATTATTTATTTGTCTTTCTATATATATTTCTCATATAGAAATGCAAGTCTTGAAATTTCACTTCAAGCAAATAGAAAGATAAGATGCTTTTGTTATTAAAGTTACTTTTAGCATAATATAGACCATATGTTTATAAAATGAAAACAAACAACTCCATTTTAAAAATATATTACAATACTTGAAAATTTTTTGGCTTTAATAGGGTACATATGTTAAATCGTAGGTTACTTGTCCCAACTTATACGTTTACAAACAATAGTACCTGTATATGCATTATATTCTGGTGATTGTCACCTACACATATGGGTTATCTCCAACAGTAAGTGTTCTAATAAACCCATATTTTATTGAACGCAATCGTTACACCCTGTCTAGTGAGTTGTATGTTATGTCTTATACCTTATTTATCTATATGCATATATTCTGAACGTTTGTTTTTATACCCTGTTTGTTTATATGCGTACATTCTAGAACAACATACAGCCTTTTTAAACACACACATATATATATATTGCAACTAACGAGCCTTTTGATATGAAAGTCTCAGTCCAAGAACTGAGTCCCCCCCCCCAATAGCACACCGGTATGTCTGCAGACTTACAACGCTAGAAACCGGGTTTCGATACCCGTGGCGGGCAGAGCACAGATAGCCCTTGTGGAGCTTTATGCATAATTAAAATCAAACAAACAAGGCAGGACTAAACCTTCCAAGCTAAAATACAAGAACAACCCCTATTGGTCCATATGCATTATAGACATACAAATTGTGTTTGCATGTTGAGTATTCCAAATACAGACAAACAAAAACAACTGCAACAACAGTACGAAAGATTTATTCATATACAATATATATATATATATATATATGTGTGTGTGTGTGTGTGTGTGTATTTAAAAGAACAACTTGATCTGTCTATTTGTAAATAATAACTTGAAACTGGTTTGTTCCTAAAAGGATCAGAAAACGGAAATTATGAACAGCAATCATAGTCATTGGCTACTAGATAAGTTCTTGCTGAATTTCTGGAGTGGGGGAGGGAGGAGGCCATCTATGGATCGTTCATTAATCAGGCACTAGTTGATTGTAATCTACAAAGATATTGAAAGCAGTTAATTAAACTGCGGAAGTATGCTCCATTGTTACCCACCTTCGAGTCAATTGACTTTGTTTGCGCTTAAAGTAACCCTCGGATCTTAATATTTCAAAACCACTAAATGCGACTCCATTCAATGGTTTACGTTTCTGGACACGTTGAAAAACGTAAACACTAACATATTTTGCACCATTACCTTGTTGTAATTGCTGACAAGTTTTAAAATCAAACGGAGGGGTGGTTATATACCCATGTGCACATAACTCTCTAGTAGTCTGTTAATATATCTTTGTGACATTATGTTAATACTTGATATGTACGTAGGGTTAATATATATATATATATATATACCTTTTTAATGTAAGTTTTCATATTGAATCATAAACTGTTTTTTCTTTTCTGAAATTCATATATCTTGTGTTAAAACAGTGTGTGAATAAATTCCAATCAAAACTATAGGTCAAAACCCATAGATCCTTTTTAATATAGATTATCAGATTGACTCACAAACTTTTTCTTTTCTGGAACTTATACATCTTATATTAAAACAATGTATGAATAAATTTCTATCAAAACTATAGGTCAAAACCCATAGATCCTTTTTAATATAAATTATCAGATTGACTCACAAACTTTTTCTTTTCTGGAACTTATACATCTTGTGTTAAAACAATGTGTGAATAAATTCGAATCAAAACTATAGATCAAAAGCCCATATATTTAAATAAATATAAATGTGATTTAAACTATAATCGCAAACATTACAATATTAAGATGATTGATTATATGCAAATTTAAAAAATAAGAATTAACAAATAGCATATATTTAAAGTTTTTCTTAATAATCACGATGAAAAAACAACACTTCAATGGAATTTTATTTGTCATTACAAAGCGTTAGAAGTTCTAGGTTTTTCCAGTTCTTTCTTCACAGTCACGTACATTAAAGAGCAGCGATACTGCCTCTAAATATTGAACTGTGTTAGGGACTTCAGATGATGTTACAAACTAGCTTACAGCTGGTGGAATCTCTTCCAATACCAAATATTGTAAAATGTTTACAGTGATTTATCTACTAGCGAGCTTGTTGGAAACCTCGGGTGTTATCCTAATGAATTAGAGTTGCAAGAGGGCCCAGCTTGGCTTAGTGGTTAGTGTTTTAGGCTGCGTAGCGAGAGGTCTAAGGTTACGAGACGTGTTGCCACTGGCTATGTTCTGTACTTTCAGCCGTGGATGTGTTATAAAAGTAAAAGCCAATCCCATTGTTTTGTTCAAAAAGTCGGAAAGAGCCCTTGTGACGACGGGCTGGCTGCTTTATCTTTGGTCAGTAGTTGAAAATTAGGGATGGGTATATCTGAAACCTAGGTGTTTCTAACCTAGCCGTTTAGCCCATGTATCCGTTAGGTGCCGTTCAGGTTGAAAATTCCAATTCCAGTTGCAAAGGCTTCAATTAATTAAGGTTCATTTATAGTCCAGACGATATGCAAGGTTCATCGTGATTTTTCACTGTTAATGAGTTGTTTTTATTCACTATTGAATATTTCTTCACGCTCAAGGTAGTATACAAAGTTTACCTTTATTTTTGTCACAATTAAGTTGTGTTAGAAGTTTCAGGTGCTGCTACAACATACTTTCTTGCTGCTACGTTTTTGGTGTTATATCACGTTCAGGACAGTATACAAGCTTTACAATTATTTCTGCTACAATCAAACTGTGTTGAAAGTCTCAGGTGCTGCTACAACAAACTTTCCTGTTGCAACGACTTTAGTGTTTCTTCACACTAGGGAAATTATACAAGCTTTACAATTATTTCTACCACAATCAAGCTGTGTTGAAAGTATCAAGTGCTGCTACAACAAACTTTCCTGTTGCAACGACTTTAGTGTTTCTTCACACTAGGGAAATTATACAAGCTTTACAATTATTTCTACCACAATCAAGCTGTGTTGAAAGTATCAAGTGCTGCTACAACAAACTTTCCTGTTGCTACGACTTGAGTGTTTTCCACACTAACGATATTATACAAGCTTTATAGTTTATGCCACAATCAAGCTGTGTTGTAAGTTTCATGTGTTGTTACAACAGTCTTTCCTGTTGCTACGACTTTTGTGTTTATTCACACTCAAGCTAGTACACAAGGTTTACAGTGATTTTCTTTTGCTATTGAGCTGTGCTGGAAATCATGTTCGTCATATTTACTTTTTCCAATTGCTACAGATGCAAATATACAATTCAATCCAATAGTACATGAAAAATAATAATGATAAAAATATTTGTAATTTGTGTTTCATTTATACCATATTACACATACAAAAATGACAGATGGGCTGTGTAACTGTAAGCCGTGATTGGTCAATGCTAGTTTATCAAATTCTGAAATATCGCAAAACAATTTGATGCCATGGAGGGTAGAAGAGAACCCGAATGCCTTCCCTCTAGTCTTATACTGCTAAATTAGGGACGGCTAGCGCAAATAGTCCTCGTGTAGCCACTGCTCGAAATTCGTAACAAACAAACAAGCTGATCCAGAATGAATATCTGAGTTATCCAGAAAGTTCTGCCTAAACCCCGACTAAGTTTTATACATTTATTCCATTATCAGTTACTTAAAAGTTAAACCTAATTAATGAACAAAACACGTGCAAAACAAATGAAGACTATATTTAAACTCTTGAAATAAGGATATCTCGTCTGAAATTTCTGATCCTTCCTGGTACATATTACGTTTTGAGTAGAAAGCGTCACGTCACTCACATCCATTCCAAACGTCTCAACAATACATTTCATTTTACATATCTAAAAATATAGCCAAGTAAAATGTGATCAGGCGTTATAACGTTAACATAAAAAAATGTATTTGGTAAAAAGATATAGCCGTTTCAGTTGTTTAACTTGGTTCATATTTCCTTTTTATTTCTATTTTCTCCTTGATAATTGGCTTTTTGGTTAGATGTAACACATACATTTGATAAGATAATGAATACACTTATATAGTCTTGATTCAAGTAAGAAGCTGATTCAAATAGCTTTCTTCTATATATATATTATATTATATACACGTGTTGTTGACGTACTATATTGTTCATGTTCTAAAAATCTATTTCTTAAGTTTGTGGTTTGTGATTCAAACTCAAACATGATAAATAACGTGATATTCATAATTCTCACAGGTTAAGCTGATAGTTTAATCCAACAGAAAGCTATTTTCTATCGACCAATCACATCAGGACGTTGTACCTGATGAACCCGACATCGGCCATGCTCCTTCCAACCTCCACGGCGCATTCTTCCAGCGAGGGGGGGAACCGTCGGCCCAAGTGCGCCCGCTGCCGTAATCACGGGATGATTTCCTGGCTGAAAGGCCACAAGCGACACTGCCGATTTCGAGACTGCGTGTGTGCCAAGTGCAACCTGATTGCAGAACGCCAGCGGATCATGGCGGCCCAGGTGGCTCTAAAACGCCAGCAAGCTGCAGAGGACGCCATCGCTCTAGGGCTGCGAGCCGTGGCTACAGGGAACTCCATGCATTATCTTCCCCCCGGCCCCATCTTCGGAATCTCGGTAACCGAGCCTAAAGGTGACAGCAAGGACCCAGACGGAGATAGCGGCAACAGTGGAACAGGTAAGTTATCACTGCTTATTTGCTATAATTTTGAAAAACTCCCATCCTGTACAATCCGTTAATAAACAGTTGTTTATCAAAATGAGACCCATATATATATATATTTATATGTTGAAAGATCACACGTTCAGACGTCTCTTATCTGGTTCCAAACTATAACGCATTGTATCTAGATGTAAAAATAGTCACAAAACTCGGCTTAACAACACATATACAAACAAAGCGGAAGGATAGAGTATATTTCTCAGTTAAATTGCCTCTTTCATTGTTTACAGTCTAAGTGATGGAAAATAGATAATTCACATGCATCCTAAACTTGTTATCATTCGAACTCGAATTTTTATTTGAACTGATGCACTTTTAGTAACATGAAACTACCCTGTTCACGTGCTCCTTTTTTGTCGGTGTCAGTTCCTTCCTTCGTTTACACAAAACCTGCCAAATCAAGCACAAGAAAATGGCATTGTACCGCGAATATGGCGTATATAAAAAAAATCCAGTTCTGACAGAAATCATTATCCGATTCGAGAATACAACTGTACATTTAACAAATGGTATAAGTTCCTCGCAGACGAGACCTGTCTCTTAAAGCAACGGTTTCGGAATTATGACAGCATAAGGACATTTGTTAAAACAAACAAAAACGAATGTTTGTAATTGTTAGTTCTATACACAAAAAAAACAACAACAACAAAAAACGAATCTTTGTAAATGTTAGTTCTACGTGAAAAACAACAGCTTTCATTTTTGGTTTAAACTTTTCCAAAAAAAGAGGTTATCTTTTAATAGTTTAAGATTGAAATTTTGTTTTACAAAGTTGACTAAATATAACTACATAAAGGCACACAGAATGAAATATATAAAAGAAAAGCTGAATTAAAGGGTGCATGGAATTCTGGTCTTGCAGATTAGATTCTCAGGTTAATACAGTCACTTTGATTCTGGTCTTGCAGATTAGATTCTCAGGTTAATACAGTCATTTTGATTCTGGTCTTGCAGATTAGATTCTCAGGTTAATACAGTCATCACTTTGTAGAACGTTCACGGTTAGAAATGTTTTTTATTACAAAATAAATATTTTTAATACTATTCGTCAAAGTAAAACATCGTAACTGGAAAAGCCTAAGTTGCACACATTTACAGATACAATATATAATTCTGACAAATTATAATGATTTGAAATTAATTTATACATACTCTACAAGTCTATTTTCAGACGTCTGATAACCTTGAAGTATCATATAAACCTAAATAATATGTATAGAGTTCTTCTTTAATGTGGACGATTGTTCATTGAAGGGACAGAATTCTGAGCTAAGGAGCCCCATTTTTGCTATAATGAACATGGACGATTTAGCTTCTTTTAGCGGAGAAGTTCTTTAGTTTTGAGGAAAGTTAGTTTTTTTATACAAGGAATTATAGATTACTGAATGTTAAATATTTAAGTGTGAAAATGATAGATTTTGTTATATGAAAAATAAAAGGATTTTTGAGGAATGGAAAAAATTGTTAAGATTTCAACACTAAGGAATTGAAAGTATTGTTAAGATGTGAATATTGTGAGGAACTGAAAGTATCGTTAAGATATCAAAACTGTGAAGAACTGAAATAATGTTTAAGATACAAATAGTATGAGGAACAGAAAATTTTGTTAACATACTAATACTGTGATACACTGAAAGTATTAAGATGTCAGTACTCCAAGAACTTAAAGTATTCTTAATCTTTCAGTACTAAGAGAACTGAAAGTATTGTTAATCCTTCAATACCATGAGAACTGAAAGTATTGTTGATCCTTCAATACTGTGAGAACTGAAAGTATTGTTATGGTTTTCAGTACTAGTGATCGTACACAATTGAACACAATTATTAGAGAAAATAAAACATAAAGCTTCTCGTTTCACAAGTTTCAAAACTTTTATTTTTACTGTAATGCTATTAAATGGGTATACATAGATTAATTCAGTAATTAAGTTAGTTTTTACTGCATTGTTACTGACTAGAATTACATAAAATAATACTGTAATGTACTTTTTTTTCATTACAATGCTCCTAACTAACCGTACATGGTTTATTAATTCCTTAATTCAAGTTGTTGTGTAGCAGAATTTTAAAGTCAAGAGATGCATGGACTTACAGAAAACAGAAGTACTTGAAAAAGTGGAATCTTATTTTCATTTTCCGATTACTAAGTAACAATTACATACAGAAGGTTGATTATGCTATGTTAAAACTCTTTTAAATATGCAAATCAGGAGGTCAAGTGACTAGCATAGCCAATATAAGTCGCGGTGGAACAGAATGTATCAGAATTATATTTGACATTGTTTGGCATTCACGATACAAACGAACATTGATCGCGTTTGAAAAGGGTATGTAACAGCCATTTTCGACGCAAAATATTCATATGTACTTAGTTCAGGGAATATAGAATTTACAAAACAGGGAAAATTCTTTTACGTAATTGTATTGGAACACAAAGGAATATTGATCAACCTGGGGCACCAGGACTATCAAGAAAGAGATCTTCAACAAGTCGTATTACAGCTGGTAAGTAAACTGCGACATCTTGCAATAGGTAAGAATACTCAAACACAAAGATCAGTGACAAAAGCCGTCCAAGCACCCCAGGCACAATAAAAAAGATTCCCATCTGGAAAAGCGACACAAAACGTAAACAGAAGTTACTTCCATGACATATCCGTTCAACCGTCGCATACCTCAAGCAGCTGGAAAATGAAAACGGTATTCCTATTATTCCATACGAAGATATACCCGTCAAGTAACTGGACATAGTGCCTATTGTGTGATCGGACAGTTGAAACAGCCGCTGGGAAACCTTCGTTCTCATATACTAGATGTATTATGGAAAGCAAGCTGAGAGGAGTGGATTGCTTTGGACATAATGACCTTACGACGGAGCTTTTTTCAATGAAAACTATGCTGTGGGGCTGTTGTCAAGATTCGCGGTCGTCAGGTAGCAAGTACATGTATGTTAATGAGCTTTTCTTTCAATCAATATATTTAAAAAATAATTTAGATGTAACTTATTGGTTTATCAGTGCTGACAGTTACATTGAAAATGGCAAGTATCAATCAATGCCACATTCACACTATAAACGATAAGTATTTTCGAGTAATATATTTAGTATGTAAGGTTTCAAGTTTACAACTTTTTCTTAGGCCTCTGAATCAAAGTGAAACGTTGAAAAACAAATAGGTTTTTCACTGACAATAGGTTGTAACGTCGTATGTTTTATATGTGTGTTTGTATGAATTGCAAGTGTTACTAAGGCCAAAGGTTATTGATAAATTTTAACACCATTGTATTTAGCGAGTGTAACCAAGACCTGGGATTATTGAAAGGTTGTAACACCGCTGTATTCATGTGACGGTCAGTCACATTATTCGTTGGTAAAAGGGTGGCCCAAGAGTTGACGGTGGGTGGTGATGACTAGCTGCCTTCCCTCTAGTCT